AAAAAAAAAAAGAAAAAAAAAAAGAAGACACATTTAGAGTAAATAGGAAGCGACAAATGCAGTTTCTGGAACACTTGACTCGACATAAAAGCTTGAACATCTTGCTCTCACTGCTAAAAAAATAAGGCAAACGACGCAGAGGTAGACCCATAGAAACATGTCTGGAAAACCTGAAAAAACCCTCAACAGATGGATGACGGGGAAACACCAGGATAAAATAGGTTTTTGAGAGCTTTCAAGGGGAGAAATGATCGTCAGTATCTGTTTCAGAACTGGCTTTTAATGGTGATGAATCTGAAAGAAAAAAAATCATCGTCATCAAGTGCTAGATCTGCGACAGGCATCGGCGATCATGGTTCTCCTTTCATTCCTTTGTTCGGATGCTCTAAAATAAGTTACATTATCCTGATCTTTCCCCCTCATCCATCTGTTTGGGCTTTCCAAGTAGGTTGCGCTGGGTCTACCCCTGCCTCGTTTGTCTTTAATTTTGCTAGTTTGATCTAGATGTCCATGGCCTTTATATAAAATATTATTATTCACATGAATATTAATATTAAAAGTGTAGATCTAGTTCGGGGCGTGATTTGGAAGGACAATATGGAGTGATCAACATAGAGAGAGAGAGAGAGAGAGAGAGAGAGAGAGAGAGAGAGAGAGAGAGAGAGAGAGAGAGAGAGAGAGAGAAAGAGAGAGAGAGAGGGGTCTGTTGGGTTTTTTTTTGGTCTTTCTAAAAATCATATTATTACTATTGTGAAATATAGACATATACTAAATTATTATCAACTTGTAGAATCTTTCTCGACATTACGTAATTGAGGGGGAACAACTCTAGCCACGTAACTCTGACCTCCCCCGTCTTTGTTTTGCCAGTGACTTCCCCTAGCCCGATGAGGAAGACGACAAAAATAATCCAGAACTGCTCGAAGGATAAATACCGGAAGTTCTCCTTTACAACACAAGTCGTTTGTGACCAGTACGTTTGTCGCCTACCCACATTGTGTGCATTGTGCAATAACTTATAATTTGTTCATTTACTTCTCCAATATTTGTTTTGATCAAGACTTTATGGACTAATGGCGGATCATTTAGCAGAACGCAAACCAGGCTTGGTGACGGTGGAACTGAACAAAACGATATGGGAGGTGCCAAGTCGATACACCATTCAGAACCCCGTCGGGATCGGGGCATACGGCCAAGTCGTGTAAGTACACACGCATTCTTTTTTAACCTGTTATTTAGGTCGCTCGCTTCTGAAGCTTTTCATCCGTTTTATGCGCTGTGTTTTTTCTGGAATGCATGTAAAAATGCAATAGATTTAGATTTTCTAGTGTTGATATTTATTGCAGTGCATTCTGTTTGTTAACACAACTTTTTTGTGGTCCCCTCTGCTATCTTTATCTTGACCTGAGTGGGTAGGAGGGGTGGTGTGGTGGGTAGGCCTAGATCTAGAGGCTAATCCAGTGCCAGTTGTCAGTTGTTGAAGTTGTACTGTTTTGGCCTATACAAAGAAAGAGCCCATATAAGATTTATGTAATGTTTGAGAATAGCAGTCAGAAAAGTTTGATTGTTGTTTGAATTGCTCTGATGGTAAAGTTATCAGAGAGCTTATATTTTTGTTTTTAGCAGCAACTCTGTAGTTTAACTGTAGTCTGTAGGCAGGGGGCCTTCAACTAAGCCTTAGGCTATCGGCTATGGGTTGTATCTCTATCTAAGGCTCGATTTAGATCTAGAGATCTCTAGATCTAGACTAGATTATAGATCTAGATCTAGATCTAGGCCTACTTGCAGCTCCAACCTGATCATTGGCATTGACTTAGGTCTAGATCCTAGATCTTAGAGTTTATTTTAGTTTCTAATCTAGATTTTCTAGATATCTAGATTGTAGTGTTTTTTTTGGGAGGACTTCCGTAACAAGCAACCAAGTGCTATGAGACAGAGCAGAATTGAGGGCTTGGGGTAAGGGTAGGGTTAGGGGTAGGGTTAGGGGTAGGGTTAGGGGTAGGGTTAGGTCTAGGCCTCTTTTTTATTGTGTTTGATGGGGTGGTCCCTCATTACTGAAGTCCTTCCGTTTTTTTATCCATCCAGTAGGCATAGATAGCTGTTCAAGATTTTCTTCTTGTTGCGGAGACTGACTTGACATAGAATCTAGTGAGGAGACTGCACTATTAGTTATGAGTGATAATGTATTCCCGCTGCTGCTCATCGTTATTTCTGCTTTAAGGTTGAACAGGGTTTGTGGACCAACCAAACAGGTTGATGAAAATGTGTACGTGCTAGAGGTGCGTTCTGTTGATTTGCACGATTGGTGGCCACGCATTTTGTGGATCCATGGCATGCACAACAATCCTTCAAATGTTGCGCATTCTGTATTATATCTAGGTCGTTGTAATCTCAGGAGTACTTAACACACTTGAATGTGATGGGAGGGTTGGCGGTGATGTAGGTAGAGGGAAAGGTACTGTGATAGAGACTGCGGCCAGTTGTTGCATTTGTGATTTGGGATCATTACAAAAGCTGCTGCTTGGTATCCATCTTCATCCGGTGCCTTGCAGACTGGCGTTGGCGATCATGGACCTCCACTTCACTGTCTTGCGTTGCAGCAACGGTGTGTGTTGTTCTTGCTGCTCCCAGCCATGTTGTCAACTTGTCCAGCATCTTTTCCCTCTGTCTTTCTCTGCCTCTCTAGTCTCTTTCCATCAAACTTGGCTGTTTTTATTACAATACTCTCCAATGCTTCTTCCGCTTTGTGTGTCCAATGAAATTTGCCTGTCGCTTTCATATAATTTGTCATAAAAGCTGTCGTCTGCAATTTGCTTCAACCAAGACTTCTTTATTTGTTTTTCTAGCTTGGTATTGCCTCTACTCTAAATTCTCTTCACAATGCCAGCTACCTCTGCAGTAGCTAGTAGGTCTATTATAAATTTCTCTTCCTCCTTGGATGATGAAGGTCATCATCAGATCATGATAGAAGACAAAGCAAAATATTATCAAGATTATTTGTTACTATTATTATAAGGCAGAGGAGAATGGAGGAGATGGGTGTAAAGTAAAGCTTTTGGGGCAGGTTTTGTTTCAAAATCAATCTCTGCCCGTACGGGGTTGTCGAGCAGGCCACTAATACCAAAGATACTACACCCTACGGTTGTCAGGCTGAACCTCTGATTTTGTTTGAGCAGACTAACAGACCGTTCTTTTTAATACTGTATTTTTACACCCCCATCGAATGTGTTAGATCTTTAAGGAGGCATGCTTCTGACTGCCTGTCAGGGCGAACCCAGGCTTTTGAGGGGATACATCGCTCTTGCAGAATGATCGAGATACTTGATAAAAATTCTCCCCACTCGGGAATCCATGCTCAGGTCTCTTGTGTTCGACGGCTAAACGCTACACCACAGACTCTGGTACAATGATGGTGCTGTGCTCGGGTTGCTGTTAGAGTGAGAGTGAAGAGAAGCAGTACAAATATAGAGATAACATTCCAGTTAGCCCCCTTTCTTCTATGCTGAACTTTTTGTACTGCCTACCTACACATGCGGGTGGTTGGAGGGTGGCACTCACTGAAGTTGGTCCTACAAGTTCTTTACTTTCTCTCTGTGGTTTCTGTCTGTCTTACCTTTTCACAGCACTAAATGAATGACCGTTATTGTGTTGGTGTGTGAACTCTTTACTCAAACAAACCACCACCTGTATTTCCAAGCAGGAGTGGGTGGTTGACGGGTGCTCTGGTGTGATTTGCTCCTTCTTTCCTATCAGACTACTATTGTCTTTATCTCCCCTCCTTTTTTTATGTTTGTTACTCTCTTGTAACACCTCCAACCTTCGGCTCTTATTATATTGTATTGCAAGTGCCGTAAAACTTTTAATGTCTTCCAAGCAGGGAATGGAATAATTATAATAACACCTGTCTCTACTTGGATGATCCCCACCTCCCCCAGAAATTACGAAATGACCCACTCTTGTGGGGGACATCTCTCAGGTTGGCAACAAACTGCGCTAAACTCTTGTTGGTGTTGTTTTCTCCTTCTTTCCTACTAGACTACTAAGCCTCATCTGTGGGTGGTTGGCGGGTGGTCTGGTGTGGTTTACTCCTTCTATCTTGCTGTAAAACTCTTACTAAAACTCTTTAAAAAATGCTGAAACACTTATTGTGTTTTTGTGGTGGCCCCTTGTTATCACCTCTGACGGAAGGCGTGATAATCCACCGTGATATCAAAAGAGCTGCTGCTGGTGCATTGGTTTCAGCTCGCCGCTCGCTCAAGGAGCGTAGAGTGCTTCGACCTGTGAAGCACATCAAAAACACTGAATTATCTTTCTCGTGAAGTTTATCATTTGTGAGGCATTACACTTGTGTGTGGTGAAATCAGGTGCTTGTCTCGTCTAAATAATAAAATTGAAAAAAACCCACATATTTCTACCAGTTTGGAAATTTTTATAGATTTTTTTTTTCTTTAGCTCCATGCTTTTTTTTTATGTCCTTACTGGAAAACGTTGATTAAAGACATAAAATATATGCAGTTTTTTCAGTTTTCAAGGACTCTAAAGCTTTCGAAATGATCAAACTTTGGCGGCCATTTTCTCGCTAATTTTACCTCTGAGACCGGGCTGCCTCAAATTTCTCAAGATAGATGGGTATTTTTTTCTTTTAAATCAAGGCAAATGAATAAGCTTTCATATTGTACCAGAAACTTGAAATGAAGAGCGCCTGATTCCACCGCGTTGTGACTCATTTGTGTTCTGATTTCTTTGTTGTTTTCATTTTCAGCTCAATGAGCTCAGAATTGTTATTTTCCAAAAAGTACTGAATTCTCTTAGGAACCGAATCTGTGATCTTATGACACTAATTCTGATTCATGAACTGTTAGATTAGGATGGTGGGTGGTTGGCGGGTGCTCTAGTGGGGTCTGCTCCTTCTTTCCAATCAAACATTTATCATCCTTATCTCTCCTCTTTCTTTTTTGTGTATGTTCCTTTCTTGTAACATCTCTAATCTTTGGCACTCATATGACCTTTTTGTGTTGCAAGTGCTGTAAAACTCTTACTACAACTAAAGATTAGGATGACCTGGAGAGTCGGGGACTCCAGTAGGAGGTAACAGGCCAGGGGGAAGTGAGTGCTCAAAATGACCTGGGGCTGTAAGGAATATATAATATATTTTTATAATAATAATGAAAAGGATAATAATAATAATGATGAAAATAATTATGATAATAATGATGGTGTCAATATATTGATAATGATAATAATAATTTTAAAAAGTAATTATAATAATAATAATTTTAAAAAGTAATTATAATAATAATAATAATAATAATAATACTAATAATAATAATGATAGTATAAATAATAATAATTATAATAATAATAATAATAATAATAATAATAATAATGATAGTATAAATAATAATAATTATAATAATAATAATAATAATAATAATAATAATGATAGTATAAATAATAATAATAATGATAGCTTCAATAATAATAATGATAATAACTTAATATAATAATGGTAATAATTATGAAGTGACAGTAACAATAATAAGAACAAGAACAGTAACATAATAATACTTTATTAGGGGGTGGGGGCATATGACCAATAACCTTTCGTTGTTCACGATGACCATCTATCGTCTGTCTTACACTGTCTGCTGTCATACTGAGGCCATTCCACTTCCACATGTGTCCATACCGTCAGTCCTACCACTGTCTACTGTCATACTGAGGCCATTCCACGTGGGTCCATATTTTATTGTATACCGTCAGTCATCTACTGTCTACTGTCGTACTGAGGTGCCTACTGTCGTACTGAGGTCATTCCACATGGGTTCCTATACTTTGTACTTCCTCGTCCACCCCGAGGTCATTGGTCTTGAAGCTTGAATTGAGTGTTCAGGAGAGCAGGCAAAAGTTGCCTCGGTGGGGCCTACACATCAGAGGGCACCGAGTCAATTTGCCAGGGCACCAAGCTAGACACCGAGGCAAAAATTACAGAGGTGATCATTTTGTTGATTGAAGTTGGTAATACTGGATCGTACATCATCATCACAACCTTTATGCTGATGCTGATGATGTAGGCACTGATATATTGCTGATGCTGATGACTGGGATATTGACTATATAGATGTCTTTCGTGAAACATGAGATGTTGAAGATGTGGAGGCAGAAGATGTGGGCAATGATGAAGATGAGCTGAGATGAGCA